TTTCCGTTCTTTCAATCGCTTTACGTATACGTCGACTTTCCATGTCCATTATTGTGAAACCCGCGAGACACAACAAACACACAGCTCCGATCACAGCGTCCTCCATCCTCCTGTTGTTAATGTTGTTCTTCTTTGTTTCTGTTGAACGCCGCGCACAAATGACGTCGCTGTCGACCGGCTTACGTCACTTCCTAGTACACACTGTCGGTGCGAATGCAACCCTTTAAATAGTACTGGGAAATAGTTCGTGCAAAATCGTCCCAGTACTTTAGTACTGTACATTTAGTTCTGGAACTAAAGTGGTGCAAAAGGCCCTCATGTGTCTTTTTTTCCATGTTGTGGTGGTTGGTTGTAATGGTTGGTCTGTTTTTTGTTGTGCAGATTGTCATGCATGCTATCATAAGACCTGCTTTAAGGGAGGGAAGGCGTGTCCTCGCTGTCTGAGACTTGCCGAGAGGAGAAAGCGGATGGCTCGCAAGAACATGGAGGAGCAGGAGGACAGAGAGGCAGACGAGGCCAGCGGGACCTAACACACAATGCCAGTAAGATTTAACCAGAGCACAGCACAACAGTGAATGTAGTGACTGATATTCAGCCAAACGTTTCTTGATTCCCGTCCCAAATAAGCTGCTCTGAAAGTCCTGCTGACTGCAGCATAATGGATTATTAATGCTAAAGAGTTTTATGTGCAAAGAAGACATTTCTGCTTTTAAGGACTGCCGCCTTCAAATACAAAATTATATTGTTTTTTTACTATTTGCCATGTTTTTGCTTGTTGGTTGCCTCCATCCTTAAAAATCCAATTTGTTTTAATCAACAGGCTGTCGGGTCCTGTGTCGTAAGCTTTTATGTATAGGGATTTATGTATCTTGTTTTTGTCTGTCTGCTTTTTGTTGGTTATATTTAAGCGTATAACGCAGGACTGTCCAAACTCGGTCCTGGAGGGCCGGTGTCCTGCAGAGTTTAGCTCCAACCCTAATTAAACACACCTGAACCAGCTAATCAAGCTCTTACTAGGCATAGAAACTTCCAGTCAGGTGTGTTGAGGCAAGTTGGAGCTAAACTCTGCAGGACCGAGTTTGGACAGCCCTGGTATAACCTGTTGTGTGCCTCTTTAATGGCTCTTCGTTTGTATCGATGAGAGAACTGAACTGGGCAGCTGAACTCCAGTGGGTTTTGCACAACCTTTGTTTCCCGAGAGGTTTCTAGAAGTGGCAGGTTCCAGCTTACTGTGTTAATGATCAAAGCTACTAAAACAAAAGGCCTTATTCGTGAAATGCGAGTCAAATAAATTTGTTAATAATTTGTAAATAAATAAATAAAATTCAATGCAACAATGGACCTCATTTAAGAAAAATACAAATTTCAAGTAAAACAAATTTTTTATGTAAGTGTCCGTTAACGATAGAATCGTAAATTGTCGTATTGAACTGAATGCAACTATTTTGTACAGAAATTAAATTTGCTTGTTCGTAAAACCGTTTTGGCTTTGCACGTAATTTAGACGTAATTCACGTAATTTATGCACACGTAATTTATGCATAAATTGTTTTGGTTTTGCGAACATTTTAACCAGAAATGTGTTCTTCTCATTTGTAAAACCATTCTTGCTGAAGTTGCTTTGAATTTTGTTTTGCTCATGTTTCACAAATGAGGCCCAATGTTGGTCTTTATTTGTAAATTTAAAGGCCTTTTTGCTTTAACATTTTGCACCTAGCAAAAAATGGCACTTTGTATATTTTTCTGTTCCTTGTTAGACAAATAATGTCTTGTTGGCTCTTTAATTTGCACTAGTTTGATAAGTTTGTTCAAACAAGAATTGTATTAATGTTTGAGCCAGAACGTCATTTCAACATCTCGCATTCAGTCCAAAATCTTGAACAGTGGCCCATTCTCATTCAATGGAAAAAGACAGTTGTACCAAAGTGTTACTGTATTAAAAGAGTTTATTATAATGGCAAATTGTATTACATACATACAGGACCTAAGTTAGTTTGGGTAGTATCTAAATGAAAATATATTCAAGAGCCCATTTGTTTGCTGCTGTGAGTATATATGAAGCAATAACGACTGTGCTACTCTGCCACAAGCATTAAATGACTTGAATGCACTGACCTTAAGTATATGAGATTGAATGAATGAATGAACAAACTTGATTTTGTATGGTTGCTTATGAGATATAATATTAAGTTTATAACTTTTAATTTGATCCTGCTGACGATGTGTCCACTTGAGCTTATTGTTGTAAAATGACTGAATTGCCTTTTTTATTCAGGGGCTTTTGATGCACTATTTGAGAAAATGTACATATATAATTTCTTATTGTTATGTAAATATATGTAACTGAATTAAAGATATTTAGACTGTCTTATTGTTTTTTTAGTCATAATTGTATTGTTGTGTTAGATCTTTTGGTCTCTACATTAGAGATCGGCCGATAATCGGTTTTACCGATATGTTTACCGATATTTGGGCATTTCCCCATAAATCAGATATCGGTTTTGTAATGTCACATCCACCAATAAATGGTTCAGTTCTGCATATCGGTTATCGGCACATAAACATGCAAATAATTGGTATCGGTTATAATAAGGTCACCATAGGTCCTCTTTTTCCCGGTCATGACCTGGCCGGTAGTGATGCGTGGATCGCAGTTATATCCGTGGGCACTGCAGGTAATCCGTGGGTCAGGTTATAAAAAAGTTAATTCAGATTAATTGTGGGTGGATGAGATGGATCATTAATGATGAAAATATTAACTACATTCTCTAAAATATGAACGCGTTTTAAAATGCATCTTTTTCATAAGGCAGACAGACAGGCTCAACATATTTCATTTTTGTGTGTGCGCGTGTTCGCCTGTTCGGGAAGTTGCAGTGACAGAAACAGTGACATTCCAGTTAAAGTTTGAAGGGAGTAAAGCCTATGTTTATGCTATTAAGAAAGTGTAGGCTAATCTGGCCAATGAAGAACTTTTGTTTTATAAATAAATGTTCAATTAAAAGCAGCCTGCGATCAGCGTATTGTTACCGTTACTCCCTTACGGCTTCAACAAGGTTTTGTTCCGTCCTCCACACGGTGCCAACTCACACCAGGAGCAAAGCAAGTGGATTCATGAGATCATGAGATTTGCCTGTCTGATGTTGTTTTTCTTGATTTTCCATGTTTTTCTTGATTGTTGGGGTTCTTGGGTTAGTTGGCTAAATGGTTGTTTTTAGGGCTGCATGATAAATCGCATGCGATATTTAATGCGCATCTTGCCAGTAAAGCCGGATCTGTAATCAGCGGTAAATCTCCATAACGTGCGTGCTTTCACATGGAGCAGCGTTTACTACACAGAGCCGTTGTTCACTGACAAGCTGCGCAAAACATGCGCAAAATATGATCGTGGTTTAGCGCAGCTTGTCAGTCCTAGTTGTTTTGTCCAGTTTAATTGTGTTTATTGTTGTGTTTATTTCTATGTCCTACAGTACTTTGTTGTGCTGTAGCCTACAGACAACGATAATACTCTTAATGTCTAGTTATGAACGACAAGGATAAAAGATTTGTAGCTGTTTTTTAGTCGTTTAAAATACATCCTCAATTATTTAATTGTGTCGGCTTGGATGCGGTGTTCGTCAAAAATAGACTAGCCACCTATCTTTAGCGAAGCAGCACTGAGAAACGCTTCTGAAACGTGCCGTGGCGCGGCAGATATTAACACGAGCATTGACTAGAGTGGCTGCGATCAGCTCCGGTGGTCGTGTCGGAGCCATAATGTGCCACAGATGTGTGAAGATCAGCTCTAACATAACTGAATCTGCTGTTAAAAATTAACCATCGATCCATCATATTATCATGCAAAACTAAGAATTAGAAAAAAATTAATGTGACAATTGGGTGCGGGTCAGGGCGGAAAATATAGGGGTGGGTGGACAATTTGTTCAAAACAGCAGATTCGGGTGGCGTTTGAGCTGATCCGTGCATCTCTACTGGCCGGGGTTTGTAAATTGCCTAAAATCTCAAGGTTTTGGCTTTGTTTTCCTATTGTTTTCATACTTGTAGAAACATATAATGTATGAGAGAACGTCAATAACCAGCCAAAACCAGGATATTTTATGGCAATTTAGAAGTCTTGACCAGGACAGGAAAAGAGGACATATGGTCACCCTATTAAAACCGATACCGATTATTTGCATGTTTATATGATGATAACCGATGTGCATAACTGAACCATTTATTGGTCGATTTAACACTACAAAACCAATATCTGATCATGGAAAAATGTAAAGAAATCAATATTTGTCAATCTCTACTCACTACATTTCTGCTCTAGTGAACATGGGAAAACAACCAAAAGTCTGTATATAAATATTCTGAGATACAGACTTTATATATTTTATAATATATTTTCTGTTAGCCCTGTACTTTTTCTACTGGTTCATCCAAATGCACCACATGCATATGATTACAAGCGCGTATCCGGTGATTATCAACAGGTAAATGCGGAAGAGAAGGAAGTCCAGAATGTAGCCCACATGGCACCACTGGTTCTGTAGATGGTCTTCCTTTCGTAGAATGGACAAATAAGTGTTAATCTCTCTAAGATCCTGACTGATCTGTGAGTTCAGGCACATCCAGTGTCATGGTTCCAGATGCTAGGGGACAAAAAAAAAGCAAGCATTTAGCATCTAAAACAAGGGGTGTCCAATCCTGCTCCTGGAGAACCAAAGTCCTGCTGAGTTTAGCTTCAACCAGGCCCAACACACTTGTCTGGAAGTTTTAGTGAATCTGAAGACATTGATTAGCTACTTCAGGTGTTTAATAAGGGTTAGAGCTAAACTCTGAAGGACAGTGGCCCTCCAGGAACAGGTTTGGACACATTTGATTTGAAAGTTAGCATCAGTTTCTATTCTTGTCTCACCATTAGTGGATGTGTGTTGACTGGACGTTGATTCTGAGGGCTGGATGACCCATGGATTGGTTTCTTGTTTCCCTTCTATCTTGGCTAAAGGGTCTTCAGGGAAATTGTAGCAAATAAGTCGAGCAATGAAGTGCATCACCAGCACCTGAACCCAGTGTGGCACCTCCCTGTATTTCATTGAATTGTGGTGGAGAACGCAGGTAATGAGGACCGTCTCCAGTAGACTTATGGTCATGAGTGCCAGACACACTGAGAAATAAATACCTAAGAAGGTGAAACCAAATTTTAGAGATATGATACTTAAATGAGTGTTCACATAATTCATATAATGCCACATAAGTAAGTTTGTGAATCTTTTTGGTTAATGCTCTTTCCAAGCTCTCTGGAATGTATAGGTCTTGGATACTCTACCAATGAGCTGATAAATTGAATCAGGTGTGCTTAAAGGGGTCCTATTATGCTCTTTTACAAAGTCTTGATTTTGTTTTGGGGGTGTACTAGAACAGGCTCTCATACTAGGTTGTTCGAAAAACACATTATTTTTCACATATTTTACATTATTACAACACCTCTCTCCCCAGTCTGGCATGAATGGCTCGAATAGTTCCTGTATCAAATGAAGGCCCGCCTTCTGAAATATGAAATGTGCTGTGATTGGTTAACAGCAACGTTACAGACTAACTAAAGTTGAAAAAGTGAAAAAGTATAATAGGAACTCTTAAATGAGGAAGAGTTTGAAATGTGTTGGTGTGCCTTCAGGAACAGGGTTGGAAAACACTGGAGTAATAGTAAAGTAACCTATTATGTCATTGTTATGACCAATGTTTGTTGTTTGACATTCACGTATTGTTTCATACAGGCGTGTTGTGGCTAACTGACCTATTAAAGGTGTCCCATTAGCAGTGCTGGGAAGCAGGTCATTCATAATGAGAAGAAAGACTGTATATCCCAGAATGAGGGTCATTTTGAAAGAGGATCGATCCACACTGTGCGGCGGCAAGTAGAACGACAGGATGTCGATGATCAGGAGGAAGGAGCTGGGGATGATCAG